TTTCTCAAAAAAAAAAAAAAAAAAAAAAAAGCCCACAATCATAGGACTATTCATTTATATAGATATTGAAATACTTTCTTGTTATAATTTTTACACTTATCACTTTAACATATGTCAACTTTACCCTGGATATGATATGTGCAGGAATCACCTGACTTTTACAAAGATAGTTTACCAATTGCTTAAGGATACATCAACCTTGCCCAGCCAGTGTGGCTCAGTGGTTGAGCGTCAACCCATGAACCAAGAGGTCACCGGTTTGGTTCCCAGTCAGGGCACATGCCCAGGTTGTAGGCCCAATCCCCAGTAGGGGGCGTGCAGGAGGCAGGCGATCCCTGTTTCTCATCAATGTTTTTTTTCTATCCCTCTACTTTTCTCTCTCTCTAAAATCAATAATTTAAAAAAGGATATGTCAACCTAAAGATAAGGCCTTTCATAGTGAGAGACAGGAAGCGCTTATTTGAGATCAAAGAGTAACTATTCGGGATGCTTTGATTCAGGCAGAAGCCCAAATAGTGTTCTGATTGGAAGGCAAAAGCAGTGGGTATTTGTGAGAAAGGGAAGGGGAACAATTACATCAATAGAAGGAAGGCATTGCTATTGGTGCAGATAACATAATGATGTTAATTCTAAACAATGTTTTTAAGTTTCAGTCCAGAAGTCATCAGTCCTGTAGTCATAATATCTGCTTTCTTGTTTGCAAGCAGTTCTTTGGAGCACAAGTTTGCTTAGGCCCAGCCCAAAGGTTGCTTTGCCCTGTTTAAACATTCTAAGGCTTGAGGCATAAGACGTGCAAAGCAGGTTTTCTGGCATGGCAGCTCTGGCTCCATTTTAAAGTGATTCCATTTATGTTATTTTTCTTTCTTTTTTTTAAATATGTTTTTATTGGTTTCAGAAAGAGGAAAGGGGAGAGAGAGGGAGAGAGAGAGAGAGATGATGAGAGAGTCACTGATCGGCTGCCTCCTGCCCGCCCCCTCCTGGGGATCGAGCCCGCAACCCAGGCATGTGCCCTGACCGGGAATCAAACCATGATCTCCTGGATCCTAAGTCAATGTTCAACCCCTGAGCCATGCCAGCTGGGCTATATTATTTTTCTTAATATACCATTTTTTAAATAATCTTTTCCCCCCTGTATTCTTTGATGTGACTTTTACCACATCCTCTAGCTCTCTAATACCTTTCACTACGTGGCAGGGCATCTCCCTCCTCATTGCTCTTCTTTTCAGTATTTCCATGATTATTCATGGTCATTTGTTTCTCCTGATGAACATTAGAATTACCTTGTGATTATGAATGGAATATGTTAAACCTATAAACTTGGAATAATTCATGTAAGATATTCTGTCTTTTTTAGGAATGCCATATATGTCTTTTAGCTTCAGTCTTCTTTCTTTAGATTGAACCATATGAAATTGTCAATATTCTACCTTTTGACCCACTCAAACGGTAATTTCATATGGTTCAACCCTTAGAAAAATTGACTTCTTCATATAGTAATCATGCTTTTTCTAAAAAAAATAGCTTCTCCTGGCCAGTGTGGCTCAGTGTTTGTGTCGACATATGAACCAGGAGGTCAGAGTTCCCAGTCTGGGCACATGCCCGGGTTGCGGGCTCGATCCCCAGTGCGGGGCGTGCAGGAGGCAGCCGATCGATGACTCTCCCATCATTGATATTTCTCTCTCTCTCCTTCTCCCTTCCTCTCTCTCTGAAATCCATAAAAACATATTAAAAATTAAATTAAATCAAATTTAAAAGCTTCTTTTTTAAAAATGCCAGGGAGAGGTTTGTTGGGAAAGAGTTATGATATGCTAGAAGCTTTTTATTCTTTTTTTAAATTAAATCCTGGCCCTAGGAATTTCTCTTACTGTCAGGAGGGAGAATGGGCTCTCTCGCTGGTTGATTATCAGAAAATGGATGAAACAAAGGCTACTTATAGCACTGGCTACCATGCTTTGAAGATCATTTTTGGAAATAGTAGAGCCAGAGGCATCTCTCCAGCACTTTCTGCCACCTTTTATAATTTAGTGTTCCTTATGCATAGTTAAAGACCTTGAGGGGTAGGGGTAATCAATGAAAAAGGCTAAGACTCTGGGACCAATTCCAATGTGTGGGATTTTTTTCCCCCCACCAACCAATTCTCCAACACCAGCTGAGTGTCCTATAACTCAGCTCAACCCTGACACTATCTACCTGGAGACAGCATCAGATATCACAGGTTAAGGGCTCAGTTCCACAAGACAGCCACCCCCACTTCAGATGCCAATCTCCAGTTCAGGTTGTTGACTAAGCTTCTGACCGGCTGGTTATAAATCAGAGGTTCCCAGGACCCTTTCCCTGGGTTTGCTTAATTCGCTAGAGCAGCTAACAGAACTCAGGAAACCAGTTTACTCACTAGGTTACCAGTTTATTATAAAGGATATTAAAGGATACAAATCAACAGCCAGGTGAAGAGATACATAGGGCACAGTCCCAAACAAAGGAGCTTCTGTCCCCATGGAGTTTGGGACCCAGCACTGTGGCACATGGATGTGTTCTGCTTCGCTAACCTGGAAGCTCTCTGAGCCCTGTGCTTTTGGGTTTTCATGGAGGCTTCATTACGTAAGCATGATTGACTAAATCGTTAGACATCAGCAATTGATTCAACCTCCAGCCCCTCATCCCTCCCAGGAAGTCAGGGAGGTGGGACTGAAAGTTCAATCCTTGGATCACGTGGTTGATTCCCCTGGCAACCAGCCCCCATCCTTAGGTGCATTCCAAAAGTCACCCCATTCACATAAACTTAGGTGTGGTTGAAAGGGGGCTGTTATGAATATCAAGACATATTTACCACTCCCATCACTTAGGAAATTCCAAGGGTTTTAGGAGCTCTGTGCCAG